CGCCCCCCACCATATATATATATATATATAAATTAATATATATATGTAGCATATATTTATATATAACAACAAGTTACTACACAAGTAAATATCAAACTTTAGCTATTACTTGCTTAAATACATAAGAATTAAGTAGTAGATATTACCAAGGTACCATTATCATGCAAAATTTAAATACGTTGACGGTTTAGATTTGTTGAAGAAGTTGGCGAGCCGCTCCATTATCTCCTCCGCCTCGGAGCTCTCCGGCTTCTTAAAGTAAAAACAATGATCCTCACCCTCCGACTCAAAAAACTCTGCTTCCCCTTCCCACCCGCTCTCCTTCAACCTCCGGTAGTAAAGCCTACCCCTATCCCTCAACAAATCCAGCTCCGTGACGCACACCAACACTCGCCGGCACCCCAACGCAGCCAGGCTCGGCGCATCCACCGCTACGGGATTGATCCTCGGGTCGTCAAGCCCCGTCGTCTCTGGACACACGACAGGCCACAGCGCATCGGCATCCTTCACCTTCAAGCTTTCCCCTTTCCCCCTTTCTCCCATCCCTTCATTTCCAATCCTATCCTTCCCCCAAAAGAAAGGATGCACCATCACCAGTCCTTCCACCTCCTTCCCCTCTCTCCCAAGCCTCATTCCCACGTTGTGCACTATGTTCGCCCCTGCGCTATCCCCTGCAACGAAAATGTTGTCCAAATCGCCAAATTCAGACAGCCAAGGATCGGAGACGGCGAGAACCCATTCCAGGGCTTCCCAGCAGTCATCGTAGGCGGCCGGGAGAGGGTTTTCGGGCGCGAGGCGGTAATCAACTGAGACGGAGAGGATTCCGGCTCTGGCGGTGAGGGAGTTGAGGTGGGCGTGGTAGCGCGAGGAGGAGGCGCGTATGAGGCAGAAGCCGCCGCCGTGGATGGAGAGGAGAACAGGGGGCTTTTTTGGGGTTGTGGGGAAGAAGCCGCCGCCGTGGATGGAGAGGAGAACAGGGAGCTTTTTTGGGGTTGTGGGAGGGGACGGGGGAAGGTAGAGGCGCGCGGAGAGGCCGGTGGCGGGGTTGATGGGGACGTCTTTGGATTGGACGCCGGTTGGTTGATCGAGGGACGGGGGGACGAGCTCGTCGGGGGGTGTTGAGGCGCTCCACGCGGCCGCTCCGGTAAATGCGGATGGCGTCGGGAATTTCAAAGATGATTTCGTTGACGTCAGCGGGGGTAGAGGGTGGCGAAGAGGAGTTCATGGCTGTGTTGGGAGGCGGGAAGGGAGGAGATTATATAGACAAGGTGGAGATGCAGAGGGCTTCCGATCATTAAGGCGGTCCAGCCGATCTCAACGAATCGGATTACTGTATATATAATATATTTTCTAAGTGATTGTTTATAGAAGGGAATCACGTGGCACTCTTAAAAAAATAGTATCTTAAAATACTAATTTAGGAATTTGCACGACATTAATTTAAAATTTTATGTAATTGTAACAAAAAAAAATTATTATTTGCTTTTTTTTTGTTTTATAAAATTTGTGGCAATATTTGATTAATTTGTATTTTTTTCTTAAAAAATGTTAATTTAATGTATTTTTAGTCAATTAGTAATAATAATAACAATAATTTTTTGCCCTTCACTCAATTCTTACATACTTACATATTTAACATCTAAATATCCATATTTGCATGCATACCACTCAAATCATTAACATCACCATTCTTGTAGAAATGAAATACACATTTTTATTCATAATATTATGATACCAAGATGTTATAAATATAAATTTGAGACCTTGAATGTTAGATATGGGAATGATCTGAATTGTGTGTTACCTTTTATGATCTCTTTTTACTTGTAACTTCACTGTAATTTTAATGGATATTAAATTTTCTCTTTCACTTGTGAATACGAATTAATTTAGTGCTACCTTATTTGGATTGGTTTCAAAGAGCTGAGTGAATCCAATGTTAGATACTTGTATTTGAATGCATGACTTAATTTTTAACTGTTCAATCATCATTTGCACTTCAAAAAAAATTATTTTATTTGTTAAAATATGTTGTAATGTAGGATTATCTGAAGAAGACTAAAAACAACTACTTTAAAACAAATATGTTTAATAGGATAGAAAGATTACCATTAGATCTTTGCAATCATTTATGAGAATCTTTAAAAGTTAAAGGAAACTTTAATATAATATGAGATTTCATGTTTATTATATCTCAGGAGGTCAATGTGGCCAGCCGGGATATCCATCATGTGGTTGGCCCAAGTGGTCGGCTGGGTTAGGCGGTGGCCAGCCCAATGACCGGCCGGTTGCGGGTCTTCTGCTCGTCCTAGCTGCTAGCTTTCTTTTGGCGGGTCATATTTTTATGATACAAAAATCAAATCCATGGCATGACCACAGCTCACGGCAGAGAACTACTCAGTATGGAGTGCACAATTCATGTACTCTTTCAAGCCAATGCTTCGAATCATCTTTACGAAAAAACATCACTTGATATAAATAATCTTGCTATCACCAACCAAGATTACAACCTTCGGAAGCAGACGGATCAAAATCAAACTGCTCCAAGCCCTCCTCCAAGGAATGTAATGTTTTATTACTGATATCAAGGTCTGAACAGGTTTCACAGAAAAGACCGAGCAGTCTGAAGAGAAAATCTGAATCAAACTTTCATCAAAAAAGAAAAAGCTGGTCTGCTTCTGCTTTACGCTTCTTGCATCCAGACGTGCACAAAATGTTGATTCAAAATACTCAACATGAAACCAGAATAAAGTACCATTTAACTCTCAGATATTATAATCATACAGTCAAAAGAGATTCTAAAACAAAGAGCTAGCTCAGAATCTTTACGAACTCAAACAGTAAACTAAGAACAGAGTAATTTAGTGTACTTCTTATTTTGCAAACTGTAACAGACTATGATGGTTAGGATTTGTTGAAGAAGTTGACGAGCCGCTCCATGATCTCCTCCGCCTTGGAGCTCTCAGGCTTCATAAAGTAGAAACAATGTTCCTCGCCCTCCGACTCCAAAAACTCTGCTTTCCCTTCCCACCCGCTCTCCTTCAACTTCTGGTAGTAAACCCTTCCCCTCTCTCTGAACAAATCCAGCTCCGCGACGCCCACCAACACTCGCCGGGACCCCAACGTCGCCAGGCTTGGCGCACCCTCAGCCGCCGGATTGATTCTCGGGTCGTCAAGCCCCGTGGTCTCCGGATATACGATCAGCCACAGCGCATCGGCATCCTTCGCCTTCAAGAGTTCCCCATTCCCGTTTTCTATCCCTTCATTTCCAATCCTATCCTTCCCCCAAAAGAAAGGGTGCATCAGCACCAGCCCTTCCACCTTCTTCCCCTCTCTCCCAAGCCGAATACCCACGTCGTGCACTATGTTTGCCCCAGCGCTTTCCCCAGCAATGAAAACGTTGTCCAAATCGCCAAATTCAGACAGCCAAGGATCGGAGGCGGCGAAAACCCATTCCAGCGCCTCCCAACAGTCATCGTAGGCGGCGGGGAGAGGGTTCTCCGGCGCGAGGCGGTAGTCAACTGAGACGGCGAGGATTCCGGCCTTAGCGGTGATGGAGTTCACGTAGCGGTGGTAGATGGAGGAGGAGGCGCGTATGAGGCAGAAGCCGCCGCCGTGAATGGAGATGAAAACAGGGAGCTTTTTGGGGATTGTGGCAGAGGAGGGCGGGAGGTAGAGGCGGGCGGAGAGGCCGGTGGTGGGGTTGATGGTGACGTCTTTAGATTGGACGCCGGTTGGTTGATTGAGGGACGGGGGGACGAGCTCGTCGGGATGGAGGCGGTCCACGCGGCCGCTCTGGTAAAGGCTGATGGCGTTGGGCAATTCAAAGATGACTTCGTCGGTGTCAACGGGAGGAGAGGATGAAGCGGAGGAGCTCATGGTGGCGTTGGAAGGGTTGAATGGATGAGATTGGGAGGAGCGGAAGCCCCGGTTTTGCCGACCTGAATCAATTGGAGTATTTTATATAATTGGGGACTTTTATGGCGCAGGAAGCTTCCGCGCATTAAAAACGGTACTGTTTTATTCGGTACGTGCACCGCAGGAACCCTTACATGCGGTACCGAATAAAAATTCGCCACGTGGAATGCGATTCCACGTGGCTTTACAGCTTAAAAATAAGCTTTTTCATGTATTCCGACC